TTTTTAAACATGTTTCTTAAAAAAAATTGAAAGAAAAACTTATAAAATATATTTCTCTTTAAATAAAAAAAAATAATATAATATGATTATAATCTCACGACATTATAACTACATTATTTTAAACATGATAAGTGTGCATTAATAAATGATGACATTGTAAATTTTACAAAGATGTTTTATGGTTAAAAAATCACATACGTTCCTTCCCCTCATTCTATATAAAATGATTCACATCAACTCCTACGCATCTATTTTCTTGGTGGTCTTCTTCCACAGCAAACCCAATGCTAATTTTCTTGGTTTCCTTTTTCTCTGTCATTCTGCTTTCCAAATCGTTTCCTTTCAAAAATGGGGCTAAAATGGAGTTATATTTTGTACCCTGGTTTTTTGATAGACTAAAGAAGAAGGGTTTTGGTTCCAAAGTGGAGAATGTGAAGGAGAAGGAGAAGGAAGAGGAGAAGGGGAAGGTATCTCTGTTGGATTTACCGGAATTGACTCTGGAATGCATTCTGGATCGGCTTTCTCCGGCGGAATTATGCGCTATGGCTGGAGTTTGTTCTTCTTTGAGGGAGAGGTGTTGCAGCGATCACTTATGGGAGAAACACATGAAGCAGAGATGGGGCAGAGTCATTGGGGACGCTGCGCACAGAGAATGGAAAGGGCATCTTGTCTTCAGAAGAAAGAGTTCGGAGCCCTGTTCTAGGAGCAAGAAAAAGGGGTTCCTGAGAATTTTATTCAACACCATATTACCGGAAAAGGGGGCCGATGGCCGGAGGACCTCAACGCCGGCGGACTCTGTCATGGCATGGTATATTTCCCTTGAGACCGGAGAATTCTGGTTTCCGGCTCAGGTTTACAATCGAGAGGTATATATAATACACTCAATCACAGATTCGATTTTTCACTTAGTCTGGTGTTTGTGTTTATGCCACTGAGAAAAAAAAAGGTTAATTTTGTGTTTGGTTTCCAGAATGGGCATGCTGGGTTTATGCTGTCATGTTATGACGCCAAACTCAAGTACAATCTCAGGACAGACAACTTCCAAGCAAGGTATTGAGCATTCAAATTGATTGGAAGCATTTCTGAACATTACTTCTGAAACTGAAACTGATCTATCTATACAAAATAGGTTCGATTTGTAAAAATTTAGAGTCCGTGCTCGTTCTTCGAATTGGTGTTTTGTTAAAATTTTGAAGGACTTTGGTAATAGGTACTCTGCGCAAGGGCGAGCAATAGAGGAGAACATATCATGGGACAGGGTGAGAGTGGCACCGATGGATACTCCGTCGCACGATCTTCACACCTCCGATTGTTTACACGACTTGAAACCCGGCGATCACGTCGAGATTCAGTGGAGAAGAAGCAAAGAATTCCCTTACGGTAGGTCTAAATCTAGAAGAAAAAACGAAGAACCGGGTTTTAGTAACGGAATTTTTGGTGAATCAAACAGTTGTCACTAATACCTACCCTTTAGGCATACATTACTCTTTTTCTAACTTGAGCTTCTTGTATTTTTACAGGTTGGTGGTATGGCGTTGTTGGTCATTTGGAATCATGTGATGGGAATGAAAATCACTGCCATTGCCGATTTAGGGGTAAGCAACAAGCTCATTACAATTCAAAATTAATTAAGGTTTTAAAATTAGTATATATTAGATTTGCTGCATTTGTGTTAATTATATAGTAATTGTTTTACATTTCTCAAAATTTCGTTCAATTTGTAAGAATTAATGTTGTTTTGGGAGCAGAAACCGTGATGTTGGAGTTCAGGCAATATCCGGCGGGCTCGAGATGGAGGAATACGACAGTAAATCGGAAGGATCACCGGGAAGTGGGAAATGAAGCCGATGGATTTTACGGCGGAATGAGGAAGCTATACAAGGAGGAAGAGATCTCCATGTGGAAGAGGTTGTGGCCAAGTCAATGACACTCACCCTTTCTTCCCTTTTTGCTGTGTATATGGTCCCTTTTTTTCCCCCAATTAGTGGCAATGGGTAACTCAAGACCCATGTAGTTTACCGCTTTGTATACAAGCTGTATTATACTTTGTGACTGAGTTTTTCTGTCCTCAGTTAGTGCTGAAATTTTTAATAATTACTTGAATCAATTTTGTGGGAAGAGAGATATGTAATTTCTCACACTACGGCCCACATTTGTACATCTTTAAAAAAAAAAAATTGCTGATCTTTAAATATAGTTTATGGTAACAAGAAAGTTTTGGATTGCAAAAAGTTTTGGATTGCAAAATAATATTTTAATATAGTTTATGGTATAAGAAAAGTTTTAAATTGCAAAATAGTATTCTATTATGGTAATGCCTATATACTACATGGCATTAGACTCATCATATTTACAAATACCAACTACTATTATTTTATTATCAAAAGAAAAATGAAGAGAATAATTTGATACATTTGTTTGAAGTCATCTTGCCACAGCTTTGGTAATACTCAAGACAACCACTCTCGAACAAATTCTGTCCCTCTAAGACAAAGCAAACACTCAGGTCGACCAAGCCCCACCCTGAACAAAGAATATTGCAGCATATATTTGGACAATTAACCCCACCTGCTAGAAAGTTTATAAATCAAGGATTTAAACTTTTTTTTTTTGTTTATAATTGAGAATCATTTTTTACTTTTTCTATTTAAGGACTCAAATTCACCAATTTTACTATACAAGGCTTTGTTGCATGAAATGTTGATGTGGGCTTCTAAATTCTGTTAAAAAAGTTCACATTGAGTGCTATTTGTTAAAAAAATTGTATTTTTATCGATGACTTGAATAAAGAAATTGTTGAAACAAAAAAAAGAAAAATTCTTGTTGCAAGGGACCTACAAAGTCCATAAAGACCTAATAAAGTCTTGGTCTTGTTCAGATGATAGATGATAAAACAATTTTTTTTACAAGTCAACATCTAATATGGGTCACTCTAATGGAATTAATAAATTCACTTTAACATTCCATCCAACAAAACCTTATACATAGTAAAATTAGTGAGTTCAAATCCTTAATTAGTAAACTTTTAAAAGTTGAAGTCCTTATTTATACTATTTCTCACTTCTTTGACATTTCATTGTGAGAGCTTAGCTAGAACTAGGCAAATTAAGAAAATGATGAGAAAAAACGAGGGCTAGGGGAGATTTATGGGAAGAATAGTTGCTGAAGAAACAGAGCAATAATTAGAACCGAAAGAAGTCTACAAAAGACAAAGCTAAATATCATCATCGGATCAATGAAATTCTTATGAAAATCTTTTGAATCAGATGAAGAGAAAGAAGTAAGCTAGAGTGTTGAAGAACAAATGAAAAGCAAAGCCATATACGAGAACCAATAGATTACTTCCTTTTTTGGGAAAAAGGAGATCCCAAATCCTTGGCAATGAGTTCTATGGCAAAGAGAGGAGATTCCAGAGAAAGCTATTGGAAAGAGGAAGCCATCGGAAAGAGGGATGAAGCCATTGGGAGAGATAAAACTATTGAGTTGTTTGAATTTTACATCTAGGATTTTATTAGATATTGGGGCTTATTAGTTTATATAATCGGTAAATTTTAACAAGATGAGAGATTTGTTTACACACAAATTTTATATATTACATTTATATAAAATAATACATTTATATAAAATTTCAATAATTCATCTTTTCACTTTTAATTATCGAAATTTATTCATAATTTTTTAAATGAAAAAAATAGTTATTTTAAATAAACGTGAATAAATATAAACTATTTAAAATGAAAAAATGAATGATTTATATTTTATATAAATGTGATATGTAAAATTTATATATAAGTAAATCCTTCCTCTTTTAAGAATAAAGCCTCTGTTTCATTTTTTTTTCTCAATTAAGGACCTCCATGTTAAAAAATAAAAAAGAAAACCAACTTTTGAGCATTTTCCATTTCCTTTTCCACAAAATGAATTTCATTTTATTTGCCAAACAAATTTTCTACCCATTTTTTTTCTAACGAAAGTGGAGATGAAAAACATATTTATTTTCTAATGTTAAAAACACCCTTACTCTCTCCCTCCAATTTCTTTTTCTATTCAAATAAAGAAAGGTTTTTTTATTTACATTCCCTCGTCTCCAAGATTTGGGCTTGCATTCCGTTTGCCTTGATTCTGGCTTTGTGTGTGTCTCGGCCCTTTACTGATGTCATCGAACTTCTTAGTGGGCTTTACGTGCTACCTTGGACTTCGTAAGTTCCAATGGACAGAGTTACTGGCCTATTTGGATTGCAATAAAACCATCTAAATTCTAGAAAAGATAATATATATATATATATATATATTAAGGGGAAATTATACTTAACCTACTTGTAATTTATGATAAGTGCATTTAAAGGCTTATAGTATCAAAATATACATTTAAAGACTTGTATTTTAAAATAAGAGTAGCAAGACACTTTTGTCATTAAAGACCTAACAAAAAACTTCACTTTTTATCTTAATTCCTCTAATACCCTTGTTGCCTAACACCATCGTCTTGCCCGACACTAAAAGTTGAATTATAGTTTATTTAACTCATTAAAACCACTTATAGTTTCATCATTTCTTAGCAACTCATTACCATCCATTTGCCAAAACACATCCAAAAACAATAATAATTGATTAATTAATTCATTTTAACTAGCCACATTCAAACCACTTGTATAATTCAATGGAAAGAAAAATTAATTTGCACATGTATAAAATATTCATTATTAGCATGTACTATTGAAATTGATTAAAACTAAAGTTGCATAAAATCAAGAATATATTATTTATAACTGCAGATGACCAATACAGAACCTCTCAATTTTCAAATGAAAGCCTCATTTTTTTTTTTTTTGGATGGAAAATAGAGAAATATATTCAGTAATAAGAAATTATAATAGAATCTCCATCTCATGGCATATAGCTGAAATCAAAATAACCTAAAGACAAAATTAGAAGCATAACCTACAACACTAGTAACAAATTTAAACTATACCTATAATGGATATAGAAAATTAAGCAAAAAGAGCTATCTACAACTAGGGATTGAATTTACAATCGTTGTATAGGCTAAGTAGGGCTACTAATGTAAAAAGGGGAGTCATTATGAGTGTTAAGAACCACTGGACAACCTCACCTATTTAATGAGTTTCTTGGAGAGAGTAAGGGATTTTGGCAACAAACAGTCCCTAACCCACAAGTTGCCGTCCTACTTGTTCTTAAAGAAAAACAACCAAAAGGGGTATGGACCTTTTCCTAACAAGCAGAAGGCTTCCTAGTCGCCTCCATATACTCCCAATCATGTTCCCATCTTTGTCGATCCTCTTCAAACCCATGTTGTCGAAACTTATTAAGGGAACTAGAGCCCTTTTGCCAGCTTGAAAATCAAGCTTCCCACGCAGACCATAGCCAACCTTACCAACAACATCCCTTTCCTTCGGCAATTGGCTAGCTGATGGGGAACTGGTGTGAACCAGATTCGCCAAACTCGACCCTTGCCAAGATCCCATTCGAGGAGATGCACCAAAACAAGATTCTTGCCCATTAAATAAGAGAAACCCACTTCATCGGCAAGATCAATTCTAATTGCAACCTTCAAAAATCAATAGATGTAAACCCTAGAAAACCCAAAAAGCCATTGCCTTGTGGTCGCTTGGGTTGGAGTTTCCAAAGCAAGACAACGACAAGAGGAAGGAAGAGATTAAGAGGAGGAAGGGAGGGGTAAGAAGAAAGGAGGGATGAAGGAACTTCTATGCTGGAGAGAAACCCTAGGGAGGAAAAATCGCCGCCACTGCTCTCAACCCTAGAAGCAGTGCACGGGAGAAACCCTAGGGAGCATATTATGACATTTTAAAACATGAAATCCTCACTTTTTAAATCCTAAACAAGTGACAAAATTTCCAACCAAATACAAAAAAGCCAATAAAAGAAAATTAAAAACAAGGTTTCACTTTGGAATATAAGTTACAATAGATTAAAAGATTTTGTTCGATTACTTGTCGATGTTTGAAGATTGTTATGGAAGAGAGTTTGTGCGAACGGTTGAGCTTTTTCTCTCTTTTTTTTTTATTTTTTTTTTCAATCAAGGGTATTTAAGATATTGCACATAATTTTAACATCATTTGGATGGTAGGAGTGATTTAGTGCTCAAGATTCAAAACATAAGTTTTTAAGTACATATTTCGACACCATAAGTCTTTAAATGCACTCAGTTTAAATCACAAGTAGATTATATGTAATTTCCCCTATTTTTAATATTGAATCAAACTTTAAACTCTTGCAATGTGACGCAGTTACTGTAGATATACCAAGAAAGATTAATATATTTTTATAGTCAAAACTCTACTTCCTATATAGGTTGGATTGAAAAACATATTTTCAAACCATTTATACTTTTTTTAGTTGGGAAATCTTTTCCATGTGCATGATAAATCTGCAGGAATTGGTGCTATCTGGTATAGTACAATTATGTTCATTG